GAGACCTATTAGACTTTGCCCCAGGTAGGGGAGAGAGCCTGGTCTTGACAGGCCAGAAGCCACAACACCCGCAGCCTCCCTGGCAGTGATCAGCTATTAGAGGCTGAAAGCTGGGCTGTCCCTCAGGGCCACCCCTCCCCTAACCTGAAAAGGAGCACCATGTGGCCAGCTGGTCCCCACCCCTCAGGGGCTCAGCTTGGGAGAGCTGGAGAGGCCAGAGGATGGGGCAGATGGGCAGGTAGGTCAGGCAAGATGGGTGTCCAGAAGGAGCCTTTATCCCAGGCAAGGGCAGACCCCTGGCCTGAGTTGTTACTAAAGGCAAGGAAGGGCAGCATGTGCCACCCTGGGCAGCCCTGTTTGGTAAAGGTGAGGCAGCCTGGGCCAGGGTCTCAGCCTACTCCTTGCTGACCCACCCCCCTGCAGCTGTTGCCCAGCCTGGCTCCCCCCGCCTCTCCTGTACAGACACACACTGTTACAAAGATCATGCACACAACAGGGCTTGGGGCAGGGTGGAAGTAGAGGGCCCCATGGCAGAGAGAGGAGCAGAATGGGGTGGGAGGGAGGGTGCTCCAAGCCTGAAGACGGGGTGGGGAGGGCAACCCAGCCAGTCAGCAGCCAGGGACCTCCTGGGGTGGCCCATTCAGAGTAGAGTGGCAGGTGGGCGGTTTCTATCCAAAGATGCCTCCAAAGGTGGAGGCGATGACAATGCCCAGGATCACACAACAGATGATGATCATGATTTTCTTCTGCAAGGGGAAAGGAAGGTGAGGCCTCAGACAGAGTGGGGTGGGACTGTTGGGGGCAACTGGAATGAGAGGACTAGTGTTTGGGAGATGGATCTAGGGGAGAGGGAGGTGATGATCTGGGAGGGAATTGTGGGGCCGTGAACGTTCTGGTTAGAGCTTCTGAGGAGGATAAAGGCAGAAGGGCAAGGGCATGGGATGGCTGGGGATCTACCAGGTGCTGGAGACGTGGCCTTGGCCAGAGTGGGACTACTGACCCGGCGAGCCTTGCTCTGGTACTTGACGGCCTTCTTGGTGTCAGACACAGCTCTCTCCACATAGTCAACGGCGTGTTCCACATTGTACTCAATCCTGTCGATCATCTCCCCCTGCAGGTCAGGGGGTTCCCAAGCTCCAGAAAGCCCCCACCTTGTGGCCAGGAGGGGACTCAGGGCAGGATTTCAGGAAGTACCCTGAGGTTAGAGAGAAAAGGGGTGTGTAAGGATGGGGTATAGTTGCTCACCTGTGTCCCCAGGCTAGGCACCCTGGGCAGGAAGAGGCCACAGCAGGCTCTCTAGGGCAGCTCCCACCTCTTCCCACAGAGCAGCCACTGGGGTGGAACTGGTCATGCAGTCTCAGCCAAGGTGGGCCATGCAGAGAATGCTCAGCTGCCCCCCCCCCCGTGCCCAGTGCCAGACCAAGGAAGGTGGGGGCAGCTGGCAGAGGGCTGGGGTCCAAGCCTGCCCTGGCCATAGCACGTGGTCGCAACTGAGCCCTTACTCCATTCTTTGCAGGCATAATAGTTCCATCCAGCTGTGGCTGGCTGTAGTCTTGAACCTTTAATACTCATGCCCAATCCCACAACCCTCTGGGGCCCTGCAATCTGGTCCCATGCCATCCCCAGAGGCCAATCTGATTATGATATTGACCCCCAAGACTCCTAGAGTGTCTCCTTTCCCAAGTCCACTGCCTTCACTGGTATCCACATTACTGGCTCATCTCTTATCAGATGGCAGCAGCAGCTTCATGACCTCCCTACTTCCTAACTAAGGTCACGTCACTCCCATACTTGAGGGTAGGATGGTGAGATGTGATGCTCCGTGAGGATGACCTACATGGGAAGGTTCCAGATTCATGTCTGGAGACCTCCCTGCATACACAGAGCATGTGTGCACCCATCTGAGGCTGGCTGGTGCTAGGGTTGGGTCGTAGTGTTAAGACCTTGTCCGACTCTGTAGCTCATGGAAGAAATAAATGAGAACGACAACAAAACCACACGCCAATCTAAAAGAGACTCCAAATGCCCCAGCACCTTCTGCCAGGGCCCTGTCTACCTTCTCTCCACCTCCATCTCAGCTCCAGCCATGCCCTGTGCTCTTGCTACACAAACTTTTTTGTTCCCCAATTGAGTCTGCTGCTTGCCAGGCTCAGGACCTTGGCCTTGCGCTAGTCCCTTTGGCCTGGGGCCAGCTTCTTACCCTCTATGACTCAGTCTTCTCAGCTAATTCTTTTTCATCTTTTTTAGAATCAACGCAAACGCCCACCCCCAAAAAGGCCTTTCCTGCTCACCCCATCCGAAGTGGCCTCGCCTAGTCATTCTGTTTATCCAAGTGTGGACCTCAGAGCAGCAGCACTGGTAGTGCCTCTGAGCTTGTTAGAAATGCACATTCGGGTCAGCAGGTGGTGTAGTAGCTGGGGCATTGGACTCCCACATAGTCTACAACAGTTTTGAGTCCCAGATCTGGCAGCTCATTTTCTCACTTTCCCTCCCTCTCTGTGAGTGCCCATGCCCCACAACAAATCTAACAATAATAATAAGTACAATTAAATAATTTTTAAATAGAAAAAAATGTAGGGGAACAGCAGTTAGTGTAATGGCTATGTTGCCGGACTCCCATGTAGTCGACCATGGTTCACGTCCCAGACCCAGTGGCTTAAAACTCACGCCGGGCACGTGTGCATGCGTGCCCAAGATCCCAAGAGGAGAATAGAGGAGAAGGGATTGCGGCGTGGCCATCCCCCCGGGGGGTGATTTCTTGCTTTTTTTCTGTCTCTCTCCGTCTGTCTGGCGAGCGCACGTGTCCTATAGCAAAAACCTCTCTAGAAAAAAAAAAAAAAAAATTACACATTTGAAGTCTTCCATCTTGACCTACCAGTCTCTGGGAATGGACTTGGAAACTCACTAAGCCCTCCAGGTGAGTTTTAGGCACTTCCAAATTTAAGCACCCACTGTTAAATCATTAATCACACTGCCTCTTCCTCACATCTCCCAAGTTCCTGGCCCCCCAGAGAATATTCCATTTGTTCCTTATTTATCCTGCTCTTCCATCTAGTAGCCATTTGCTCTAGGAAGCAGGCAGCTTATGCTGTCACTATTGTACCTCCAGCTCCTAGCTAAGTGTCTGGTCACGGTGGCCTTATGATAAAGTTTGTGAATGAGACAGGACAGGGCCAGGTGCAGGTGGGTGGAGCCATGCAGAGTCGGGTCCAGGAGGGCCAAGCAGAGCCATGCAGTGGAGCGGGTCCTTCAGGTGGGCAGGGCCCCGGAGGCAATTTCAACAGCAGTTGGTTACCTGAGGATGTGATCCCTCCCGAGCAGAGCAGCGTGTTGGGCAGAAATGGTTGGGGTTAGTGCCACCCCAGGTGCAGCTGTGGGCTGGGGCGCTGCAGGTACCCAGGTACTTACCTGGCTCTCCACGAGCATGGCCATGTCCATGAACATGTCGTGCAGCTCTCGGATGCTGTTTTCCAGCTTGATGATCTCACTGTGCCGTGTCTCAATCTCACTCAGGGCCTGCTTCGATATGCTGGAGTCCATGATGATCTAGGGGGAGGGTGCAGTGAGTGAGCGGGGACCTGGGCCTGCCCAGGGGGTGGACATGGGAGCCAGGATGAGGAGGGCAGAAGGCCAAGGGAGAAGGCAGCTAGAATGGACAGAGGAGAGGTAATCAGGGACCTGAGGCTTCCTAGTCATCCCAATTGCTACCCAATTGCTGCTTGGTGCCATTGCTTACTAGCTGTTACTAATTTACCTGTGACCCTATTTCCTACCTGAAATGTGGGACTACCCACATGCTCCCTGTGCCTGCCACACAGTACTATTCACCAGGGTCTGAGCCCAGGTTGGCTGCCCCATGGATGGAGCCAGCCCTTGAACAGCCTTTCTCCCATCCTCTCTCCCACACTGACGGTAACTGTCCCTGTCCCTTCTCTACTGTGAGCTTCACCCCAAGCCTGCATCCCACACCTGTGTGTCACCTCCTTCAGAAAGCACCCCCTGCTCGGCAGAGCACAAAGCTTCACTAGAGTGTAGTACAGAGGGCCAAAGGTGCTCTAGGAGGGCAGAAAGGTCTAGAGGATGATGGGAGGCGCCCCTACCACTGGCAAATGGTCAGGAAGTGGATAAACCAGGGAGACATCCGGAGACAGGTTTGATTCCACCTTTGCCACTAACACGCGACCTCAGCCTTGTCCATTCCACTCTCTGGGGCTCTGCCTTCCCTAAGACCTGCCACACAAGGTGGCTTGTGTCCAAAATGCTGCACAGACCCAGCACTGCACAATACTAAGGTCATCATTGGTGTGGGGGGGTGTGGTAGATGGGTGGGGTCCCACTCACTCCAGAGGCAAAGATGGCGGGGTTCCCACTCTCCAGCATGTCCTCCAGTTCCTCACTGGTTGTGGTCCTTCCGGCTGCAAGCCAGGTCACACTGAGCAGGCCCTTTGCAGAGCGCAACACCATCCCGGCCCCACCCCTTGCGCTGGCCCTCCAACCTCGGACCCCGCCCCGCCGCCCCGCCCCGGGGCCCCGCCCCACCCTCTGCTGACTCCACCCCTGCAGATCAGGGCCCTCAGCTCACTGATCTCCAGCTGCCTCTGGATGCGACCCTTGCAGCGCTCGCGGTAGTCGGACTGTGTGGCGTTGTATTCCGACATGACTTCCACAAACTTTCGGGACAGTGTGGAGTGCTGGGGGTCGCGGAAGGGGGTGAAGAAGTCAGGCTCCACGGGGACCCAGAGACCCAGGTGCCCTCCCACCGCAGAGTGCTGGCTTGCACCTGTGTCTTCCGGATCCGCAAGTCGGCCGAGGAGCG